GAGGCGGAAGGATCGCCGGAGCCTAGCAGGTCGAGGCTGCAGTGGCCGGGAGCTGCCACTGCACTCCAGTCTGGTTGACAGAGTGAGACCCCAACTCAAACAAAAACAATTTTTTTTTAAGATCATGGGGTCTCACTAGGTTGTCCAGGCTGGTCTTGAACTTCTGGGCTTAAGCAATCCTCCCATCTTGGCTTCGTAAAGTGCTAGGATCACAGGCATAAGTCACAGTGCCCGGTCTCTACTTTAATTCAGAATAAAGAGAAACATGCTCACAAGATCCTATACAGCTTGGTTCTGCCCCTCTGACATCTCACACCTCACTGCACTCTGTATCCAAAGGTCTTCTTTGGAACTTGCCTTGCTCTCTCCCGCCACCGATTGTCCCCTTTACTACTCCATGGACCTTTGCACATGGTCCTCCCTCTCCATCTGAACAATGCCTATTCATTTACGTCTTGGATCTCCAATCACTTTCTCCCCCACTGGGTCAAGATTCCCCAAGTTCAAATTCTTTTCTTGCACTGACATAGCTGCAATTGTACATCTGTTTGTGGGATATTCTACCTAGTGTATCTGTCTTTGCCACTGAAACGTCACCTCTATGATAGGACATACCACTGCGGAGTCCCCTGTGAATGACGATGACTACATGTTGTGAAAGCCAAAACTACTAAATCGTTCTGGGCAGAACTTACTTGCTTAACATAATTCACAACCTACTTTTGGGAAGAAATGCCTGAAAAGTGCTTAGGCAATTTTCTGGCCCACTTCAACAAGAATTAGCCCTCTTCTGGGAAGCCTGCTCTGGCATTCAGGGTGTAACAATGTTTAACCACACATTTATTTATCAAACCACTGTCTTGTTCTTGTATCTTTTGTTAGATAACGATTAAGAAAGGCTTGTTGTAGGGTTCTTTTCTTGTATAAAGTTTGAAATGTGAATATAAGTAAATTTTCTGGAAAGTGTGTTTTTGTTCATAATATCAAAGCAACACTGGGCGCAGGAGGCTCACGCCTGCAATCCCAGCACTTTGGGAGGTGGAGGCGAGGGGACTGCCTGAGTTCAGGGGTTCAAGACCAAATGGCAACTTGGCGAGACTTCCTCTCTACGCAAATCAGAATATTAGCCGGAGTGGTGTGCACAACTGTTGTTTCAGCTACTTGGAAGACTGACACGGAAGGATCATCTGAGCACAGCAGGTCGAGGCTGTGGTGGCCATGAGCGTGCTACTGCACTCCAGCCTGGGCGACAGAGTGCATGCTTTATGTTCTGAAGCAGACTTGAGAAAGGGAATTCTAAGGCCTTTGGACTCTGGACTCTAGAATTTCGGTTAGCATGAACATCCCCCAGATCTCTCATCACAGCGCCCCCTCGTGTCCCTCGCCCAGACACGCACGAACGGCCCGGGTCGGGACGAAGACTACAACTCCCATAAAGTCTGGCACCCGTAGTGACGTGACACCGAGCGTAGGCGCGCAGTTAAAAGGCACAGCTTTCGCATTGGCCAGTTGTGGGAGGCGCCTGCGCAGATGGTGCGGAGCAGCCCCTTGACCCCGTGATGCGCCTGCGCCGCACGAGCGGTCCTGGGCTAGCGATGGAAAGTCCTGCGGGGTCGGCCCGGACTCTGCTGCTCCCCGACGCGGCCGGGCCCCGGAGGAAGCGCGCGGCGGGGGAGGCCGGGGCTGGGACGAGCAAGCAGCGGGTCCTGGACGAGGAAGAATATATCGAGGTGCGGTCTCGGGGCGGACGCCGGGGACCACCGGTCCCTGCCTGCCCCGCGCTGCTGTCGGGTTCCTGCTCTCGGGTCCAGGCGCTTCGGTTCCCCCGCGACGTGGAGCAGCCGGAGTGTCTGCTGGTGGGGAGTGGACGTCCCGAGAGCCGAGTAGACAGCGCAGAGGGAGGCGTCTTTGAGGGGGGAGGAGGCTCCCGCAGTGTTGTTGGGGAGAGAGGACCAGGCTCTGTGTGTGTGTGAGATGGGGTCAGGGAAATAAGGCTTTCTGTTAGTGTGAGTGGGAGTTTGACAGACCGGAAAGATGGTGGCAGAGAGAACTTTCTAAAGAGCAGTAACGGCGAGTGGGAATGCCGGGGATCCCGGAAACGGGCTGCGGTCGTGGCGGCATCTCGAGTGAGTGAGCCTCTGTGCCCCCTTAAGGAGGGTGTTGGTCCCATAGCAAGCATGCAGGAGAAGGGCTTGGCCCGGGGGTTGGAGGAAGTCGATTTGTCTTTAGACAAGTTAAGTTTGGGACGCTTAGGGGATGTGCAGAAGAGGGTAACACTAGGGGACAGCTGGGTGCACAGATTTGCAGCCAGATCTGGCTGGAGGCACAGACTCTGGCATCTCAATCAGAGTCGGTGGTGACTGGCTGAAGTCACTCGGGAAAAGAGTTTCGATTGGAAGTAGAAAGTCATGAGTAGAATAAATTGGTAACACCGACGTCGGTTAGTCTGGAGCATAGCTGGAGCCAGCAAAGGAGAATGCCCAGTTTGTGAGGAGGGGAGAGAAGTGTTTCATGGACATCAGAGGAGCGGTCAGTAATGTTAAGACGTTGCCCCGTGGCTGCCATGTGGGATGTTCAACCTGGCTAGAGAGTGCCCCAAGCTCCCTCAAGCAAGCCACAGTCATTGGGGAAGGCAGAATTTGAAGGCGGTTCAGCAAGAGCCTTAGTATGTTCCACACTGGACTGTGAGTGAGGAGCAACCAGATGGTAGCTCCAACTTATTCTGATCTCATCTGACAGGGCCTCCAGACAGTCATACAGAGGGATTTCTTTCCTGATGTGGAGAAGCTGCAGGCACAGAAGGAGTACCTGGAGGCCGAGGAGAATGGAGACTTAGAACGGATGCGCCAGATCGCCATCAAATTTGGCTCCGCTCTGGGCAAGATGTCCCGAGAGCCCCCTCCACCCTGTAAGAGGACCCTGTGGGTGGCAGAGAGGGGAAAGCCTGCTGAACTGTTGCCTCAGACTCACTCTAGTCTCCGCCCTCCTCTCCTCCCCCAGATGTGACTCCAGCCACGTTTGAAACCCCTGAGGTGCACACAGGCACTGGAGTGGTGGGCCACAAAGCCAGGCCCCAGGGCCGAGGCCTGGAGGATGGTGAGAGCTCCCTCTTTGGGTCATACTGTTGGGATTACCTGGGAATCCTATTCTGTGAGGCCCTGAGGGCGTAGTCCACAGGGCAGCAGATCACATCTTGCCCCTAAGGGGACCCATGCCCGAGTAGCAACCTGTGAAGTCAGAGAGTACTGGTCTAGGAGGTAGAAGGTCTGGGTCCAGCTCCTAAATATGGCTCACCTCTGTGAACTGGGAATCTCACCACCTCTGTGGCTGTCCTGCTCGTTATGTGCCAGCTCCTGTTTGTTGTGTCCCAGCTCCTGCCCTGTGGGCATCATGGGCCTTGAAAGGCTCCTTTTCTGTGTCTCCTAAAGATGCTGCAAGCCTCTTTTTTCCTTCCATGTTGGTCACGTTCTCCAGACGTGCATAGCTCACTTTTCTTCCTTCGAGTCTCTGCTCAGATGTCACCGGTTCAGGAAAACCTTCCCTGACCTGCCAGTGTAAAAACATAATACCCCTGGAACTCTGTAACTTCCAGCCTGGCTTTGTTTTTTCACTGCAGGGCATAATATTTAAAAAGGCATTTTTGTGTGAATATTGTCTCTCTCCCTCATTAGCTTCCCTTCCACAAGACCAGGGACTTTGTCTTTCTTCCATATTAGGCTCTGCATCTGGAACAGCGTGTGGCGTGTTTTGGGCCTTTGACATGTAGAACAGATGAACAATTATCTTCTCATATGCATTTACTGGGGTTTAAGACACAGGTATATGTGGTAACATTCCAACTTCATTGAGGTAGTCTTTAGGAAAGAGCATTCTGAGTCCTGTTGAATGTAAGTATGACACACACTGTGGGACTTCTGTGGTCAGTCAATCTTTAGATCACTAGTAATATGTCAGTGTTACAGATACACTAGGTGCTATTTTTTGCCATGTTCTAGTCCATGGTATGCTGTACTAGTACACATGCATTGTGTATTCACAAATACGATGTTTTCTGCTTTACAATCCAAGTCTTTCTGCCATCAATACAATCCTTGGAGCTTGATATTCATTCTGTCTCTCTCTCTCTCTTTCTCTGTTTTTTTTTAGAGTTTGGGGTCTCACTCTGTCACTCAGACTGGAGTGCAGTAGCATGACCTTCTGGGCTCAGGTGATCCTTCTGCCTCAGCTTCCTGAGTAGCTGGTACTATAGGCATGCACCACTGTGCCTGACCAGTTGTTTATAGGAACATGGTCTTGCTCAAACTCCTGGGTTCAGGCAAGCCTCCTCCCTCAGCCTCCCAAGGTGCTGGTATTATAGGCATGAACCATAAACCTAGTGTTTTGTTCTCTATTAAAATGCAGCATGTGAATCATAAGGGAACTTGCAGATTTTTTTTTTTTTAGATTGGAGGTTTTGCTCTGTTACCCAGGCTGGAGTACAGTGGCATAATCATTGCTCACTGCAGCCTTTAATTCCTGGACTCAGGTGACCCTCTTGCCTCCGCCTCTTGAGTAGCTGGAATTACATATGCACAACATAGTTCTCAGCGTTTTAGGTTTTTTAAAATTTTTTTGTAGAGATGGGAGTCAGTATGTTGCCCAAGCTGGTCTCCAACTCCTGGCCTCAAGTGATCCTCCCACCTCGGCCTCCCAGAGTTCTGGGATTACAGGCATGAGCCACTGAACCCAACCTTTTAAAAAAGAAAACCTATATACCTTACATGCCAGTAAACACAGGAATCCTATCCATAATCTAAGTGGTAGGTACCATCATCGTTCACATTTACAAATGAAGAAACTAAGGCTCGGAAATGCAGTAACTTCTTTAGGTCTCAGATATGGTCAGTGGTAAACCCCAGGTCTTGAACTTGTAGCCATAGTGCTATGCGAACAGTCTAGCATGTAGCAGATGGTCAAGACTATCAGTAGAATGGAAGAGAAAGGTTTCCCTTAGACTGCTTCACTGACATGTCTACTGCCACATGCAGCATCAGGGTGCCACCCCGTGGAGGCGCCACTTTCTATGGTGATGGGTGGTGGCTGGTGATTGAGATTGTGTCCCAGTACCTGTGAGGGTCCATCCAGAGCACTAGGTCATATGGGATCCCTGGCATCAGGGCTAGCTGGCAGGTCTGGATGCTTAGATGACAACCACCTACCTGTAGTGTAAGTACCAGGAAGGGAATAACGGTTAGGGTAAAGACATCCCAGAAAGGGAGGGAGAGCCCTGAGGACTTTGGACGTAGATCCTAAGGCCTAACATGATTTTGGTGGGGCAGGAGCCTGCGTGTGACTGCAAACTTTTGTTCTAACACCTGCACTGCCCCAATCTGAATTGGCTCCCACACTTCCTTGGCTCCCAGCAGTTGGGCAGGTGTGTGCAAGGCACCACCTGAGCGCTCCCTGGGCAGCCAGGGTGGGTCAGTCCTGCCCCATGGGGAGACTTCTGGCACTGTGGACTCTAATGTACAGTATCCAGAACCAGGGGTGAGGAGTCTTCCCCTCTTGTAGGGTGGTGTGATGCCCTGGACTGGGTGTGCTGTTTCCCCTGACTACAAAGTGATTTTTATGCTGTTTGTGGCACTGTGTTCCCCCACCTGCGACCCCTGAGCAGCAGAGGCTGGAGAGGAGGAGGAGAAGGAGCCACTGCCCAGCCTGGATGTCTTCCTGAGCCGCTACACTAGTGAGGACAATGCCTCCTTCCAGGAGATCATGGAGGTGGCCAAGGAAAAGAACCGGGCACGCCATGCCTGGCTCTACCAGGCTGAAGAGGAGTTTGAGAAGGTGCCCTTAGGCGCAGGGGCAGAAGCATGCTCTGCTGGGGTTGGGGAACCCCAGGGCCATGGGCATGGTGTCCAGGGACATCTCTGACCATCACTTTTCCCGCATGTGATTGCAGAGGCAGAAAGATAACCTCGAACTCCCATCAGCAGAGCACCAAGCCATTGAGAGTAGCCAGGCCGGCGTGGAGACCTGGAAGTACAAGGCCAAGAACTCCCTCATGTACTATCCAGAGGGTGAGTGGGCAGGAAGGCTGCCAAATGGGAAGGCGTGGGGTGGAGCCACTTGTCAATCAGCCTTCAGGGTGTGTATATGCACCCCCTTGCAGTCTGGTTTCAAAGGGTTCCTTCCTGTCTCAGGTGGACAGGTCTGTGTGAAGTCAGTGTGGGAGTGAGGCCTTCCTCAGCTGTGTTCAGGGTCTGAGCTCAGCTCGGTGCTTCTGTTTGACTGGAAGTGACTTGGCTGAGGAGGAGCGAGCCTGCTTCTGCCCCTCAGGCTACTAGGCTGCTGGGCTGAGGTTGGGCCAGCCACCTGCAACATCTACTGTGTCTCTGATTCATGTGCCAGGTGTCTCTGATGAAGAGCAGCTGTTTAAGAAGCCCCGGCAGGTGATGCATAAGAACACACGCTTCCTCCGGGACCCCTACAGTCAGGCCCTGAGCAGGTGCCAGCTCCAGCAGGCGGCAGCCCTCAATGCCCAGGTGAGCTGGTGGGCCAGCCAGCTGGCACAGGGCCAGAAGTGGCAGGGCAGGGCTGGCAGGGAGCAGGCACAGACACTGCTGTCTCCTTGGGCTTGGTGAAGCTCAGTAGGCAGAAGTATTCAGGGCCCTGTGCAGGAGGGTCCTGCATCTTTTCTCGGCCTGTGTGGGCTTCCATTGGGCACTATCTTGGCTAGACACGTTCTCTGGGGCTAGATATGCGCTGGCTCCATTGATGGTAGGGTCATGACAGAAAAGAGGCTAACCAGCATATGCCCACATGCCAGGAGGGCTGTGGAGTAGACAGAAAGGTGGATAGGCAGAGAGGCCAGCAAGTGCCAGAGGGAATCTGGCCCCAGAGGGTGCACTGGGAGGCAGAGAGCAGAAGTTTTGGGGTCTGGGAGCGAGATGAGTGGGTACCCTCCGATTGTGACTGTGGTGGTCATGGGGTCCAGGGGAAGGAAGGAAGAGGTTAACGCATATGTCCTGTCATCAGCATCGTCCCCTGCAAGGGCCTGAAGTCAGCATCCTCTTAAAGGGGCCATGATGGGGTGCTGCTCAAGCTGAGTGCTCTGACGTTGCTCTGGATGAGAGGAAGGGGCTTCCGTTGCTTGGAAGGGAACTCTACAGGCCCTCAAGGTCTTTGTAGGGGTTGGGGTGGGCATCCTCCCTCTATTTCCCCAGGAAGGCTTCCAGTCTCGGAGGCCTGGCTTTGCACATGTTTCCAGTATGTTCTGTGCATCAGCGTATCAGCCAACTGGAAGAGTGGGCTCTAGCCCCCCTGATGCTAGCCTCTCTGCTTGTTTCAGCACAAACAGGGCAAGGTGGGCCCCGACGGCAAGGAGCTGATCCCCCAGGAGTCCCCCCGAGTGGGTGGATTTGGATTTGTTGCCACTCCTTCTCCTGCCCCTGGTGAGGAATGCACCTGCTGGCAAGCTGGCCTACCACTAGGGCTGCCTGAGAGGCGGTGGGCACATTAGTTGATCCTGGCCACTTCTGGCTCTCTAGCCAGTCTCCTCCATACCCTGTGTGGCTCCAGGTCTGGCACTATCTGTGCAAGGACAGGGCTGGATTCTGGGACCCTAGAGGCTGGGTACCCAGGCTGGTTGGGTCTGTGGATGGGCTGGACTCTCAGGCACACCTGACCTGAGATGCCCTAAGGCAATGTGTTGTGTTCTGGTCCTCACTGTGACACCAGTAGGTGGGATGTGTATACACAGACTTGTGTGTTACAGGTTTGAGGCCAGACAACACTCCAAGGTAGGAGGCTCTGGGCACCAAGCCCAAGTCTCCTCCCTCAGAAGGTGGGTGCCTGTGGGTGGTTGCGTGGTACATGGTGGGTGTTTGCCCTCCTGCACTCTCCAGTACTGGTTGGTGTCTCAGGCCGGGGTGTATGGGGGCACCGCAGGTTTGCCCTGGGTTAGGAGTTTGGATCCAAGGAAGACCCAAATGTCTCCTCCCTTGAGGTGGAGGAGGTCCTTCTGGAGGTTCCCCAGGCTAAGCACATGGCTACATGGGCCTGGACCTGCCTTAGGCCCGCTGTGACCTTGGGCTCAGAGGATGGAGGTACCAGGGTTCTAGAGTCCTTGGGAAGGAGGGGGGCTAGCTGCTGCTTTGATGTTAGCTGGGATGCAAATGGGGTGAGCTGGCTGAGGTGGGGAGGAGGGCCAGCATCTCCTTGGGTCCCCTGGCCTGAAGTGGCTGTGGGCTCTCTTTCTACAGGTATGAACGAGTCTCCGCTGATGACCTGGGGGGAGGTGGAGAACACACCTCTGAGAGTCGAAGGTTCAGAAACCCCCTATGTGGACAGGACACCAGGCCCAGCATTCAAGGTGAGTTGTGGTGAGGGGGGACTGGGTGGCATTCCTTGGACACCTATGAAGTCTTGAGTGCCTGTGGTTCAGGACTCAGAGCTAAGCATTGGGCCGACCAATTGGGCAGAGTGCTGGCACTTCTGAACATCAGGGCACTGAAGATAGGTATGGTTGATGAGTGTGTCTGTCACCGAGTTTTGAGGGAATGGGGACCGAGGTACCAAAGCAGGGAGTGGCCTGGGCCCCTCAAGGACCTAGAGACTGGAGCCTGTTCATAGATGAGACAGGACAGAAACAGAGAGACCAACTCTGGCTGCTCTGCAGACCTGAGGGCCATGGGATGTGGCCATATGCTTGCAAAGAAAGACTCTGCTTACAGAACACGATTAGGGGACATGCCAGATGAACGGCTCAAGCTGGGAGTAGTCAGGGTGGGTTGACTGCTAGTAGTCAGGGTAGGAGTGGTCAGGGTGGGCTCTGTGAGGCGCTGGCACAGGCCAGGGGAGGCTCTTCACGAGTCCAGTCAGATGGCAGGGCGTGTTGCAGTGGGCTCTGAGTGCCAGGTGAAGTGTGGAAGCTGGGTGGCACCTGGTCTGTGGACCCTGGGTGGCCCAGGGTAGCGCTGGTGGTCAAGTAGGGCCCCAGGGAGCCATGAGAAGGTGAGGTGCTCTGGTCTGCAGGGAGTTTGTTGGGGAAACTGAGTGACTGCTGTGGTTTGGAAAGGAAGAGAGGCCCCAACACTTAGGAGCCTGCATGTCCCTCTGTCATGGTGCTAGGCCTCTGCCTGTGCTGACTCTGAGTGCTGAGAGGTTGCAGGAGGCAGGGGCTTGAGTTGCTGCAGAGACCAAAGATGTGGGATTGCATCATCTGCTTTGGAAAAGAATAACGAGAATCAGGTAGAGAGTGTGGAGTGACATCGGAAGTCTGGATCAGTGCTGAGCAGGAGGTCATTTAGGGCCGGTTCCTTTACAGAATGCAGTGGAGCAACAAAAAAAATGTGTTACATATACACAATGGAATACTACGCAACCATAAAAAAGAACAAAATCATGAATTTCGCAGCAACCTGGATGGAGCTAGCGTCTATAATACTGAGTGACCTCTCACAGAAACAAAGACCTGAGTATCACACGTTCTCACTCATATAGTGGACCTTGATCATCCAACAAAATGCCATAAGGAAATGACTGACAGTGGTGGGAAACTATTGGGGCGGGGAGGGGAAGGGAGATGGGATTAATGGTAGTAAATATCTGTCTGGGGACGGGGAGACACCTCTTATCAACAAGGGTGCCTGAATGAAGTATATTTGTATACCTAACCCTTAACTGTACCCCACAATAGCATAATAAAAAAAAAAAGATTGATTATTAAAAAAAAAAAAAAAAAAAGAAGCCGGGCTTGGTGGCTCAGCCTGCAATCCCGCGCCTTTGGGAGGCTGAGGTGAGTGGATTGCCTGAGCCCGCGGGTTCGAGACCCGCCTGGGCGGCGAGACCTCATCTCTACAATAAATCAAAAAATCAGCCGGGCGTGGTAGCGCACGCCTGTAATTCTGGCTACTCGGAAGGCTGAGACGGAAGGATCGCCAGAGCCCAGCAGATCGAGGCTGTGGTGGCCGGGAGTGGCTGCTGCACTCCAATATGGGTGACAGAGTGAGACTCCAACTCTAAAAAAAAAAAAGAGATCACTTGGGAGGCACTAGGAATTTAGAAGTATAAATAACTTAGTTTTTTTTCTTAATGAGAGAAAGTAATTCATTTTTTTAAAAAACAAGATAATTTTCTATTAAAAATTAGGCTATTGGTAACTTTCAGGATAAGGCAGGGGGCAGGAGAGTGGCAGCCAAAGGGGTAGACATGGGGCGAGAGCGGGGGGCAGAGGGAGGAGCTGGGGAGAGGAGAGAGGGAGGAGAGCGAGCGTAACTTAGCTTTTGTAAAAAAAACCACAGACTCACACTGCAGACCTGCGAACACCTGCCAGGTGGCTGGCCTGAGAACGCTGTCCTGTCTCCAGCCTGGCACTGTGGGGTCTTCCCCTGAGTAGCCTGCAAGTGTAACATGCAGACAAAGCATGGGCAGAGTCTTTGGTTCTAAAATTTGCCTGCGACCAAGACAAACTTGAGAGAGGAGTAATGAAGAGGAAATAGTGCTGTCGTATGTGAAAGCACGTTATAAGGCTTAGAGCATTGGTCCTGGAACCTACAGGCCATGAGAACAGAAGCTCAGAAACAAACCGTAGACTAAGCAAGAATGTAGGGTCTACACCCATCTGCCCTATCACCTGATGTCAGTAGCTGTGAGTACCTACCCTCTGTGATGACGTGGGCAGACCACCACCCAACCACCTTAACAACCTGCCCCCATCAAGGGAATGTTTAAGAGCATTCAGCCTCGAACAGCTGGCCACTATTGCTTCGCTAAATTCTGGTGTGTCCACGTGGCTCTCTGAGGTATTGCTGCCATGTTTCTTAGCTTCGGCCCCCTCCCCTATCTCTCATGTACTTTCTAAATAAATTATATTTTCCAGTCGATGAAGAAGAAGAATGTAGGGTCTGATGAAGATGGCAGTTCAGATCACGCCCAGGAGCAGAGTATTTGGAAATAAAGCAAGGTAGGCCCTTGGTATTTAGAACAGAATGAATTCCTGAAAGGTGAAAAGCCTAACTATAAAAATAATACCAAAAAAAAAATAGGAGAAAATAGTGACAAATATTTAGTCTGATCTTAAGTTAGGAACAACTTTAAAAAAAAGTATATGTTATAGAGCTAGGGTATCACTACATTGCCCAGGCTGACCTTGAACTCCTGAAATCAAGTGATTCTCCTACCTCAGCCTACCCTCCTGTGCTGGGGTAACAGGCTTAAACCACGGCACCTAGTCAAGTTAGGAAGAACTTTCTAAGCATAAAATGAAAGGAAAGAAATCACAAAAGAATAGCTACATGAAAATGACAAACAAATACAGCAGAAAATGTCACAAATAAAACTCAAGCAAATAACTGAAAAGAAATTTTCATGGCATAGCTTAATGTACTTGACGCAGATGAAGCTTCCGTAAGTAACAACAAAAAAATACAACATGAGCACCTTGAGAGAAAAGTAGGCTATGACCACATGTGGAAAGTTCTTGGAAAACAATTCAGCAGGTCAAGACAAAGATGTTAGCTTTAGTGATTCAGGGAAGCAAATTAAAACAAGACACTCATTTTCTTTCTTTTTTTTAAATTTTTCTTTTAAAGATAAGAACAATTCTGGGTTGGGTATACAAATAGTCATTGTACAGATAATGTTTGGACCTCACTTTGGTCTCCACTTTTCACCTGTTTTGAGATCAGGTACCGTTATTGATGGAGTGTCCTCCTCCCTTGGTATTTTACCACTACTGGCAATTCCTTTCTTATAGTATTTTGATAATTGTTCATATCTCGCGACTTATAAGCAAGAACATGTGGTACTAGTTCTTTGTTTATGTGATCCATCCAAGTTGCTGCAAAGTTCATACATTTGTCTTTCTTTATGGCTGTGTAATATTCCATTGTGTATACGTACCATTTTTTTTTTCACCCAGTCCATTTTCGATGGGCAGCACAGTTGGTTCTATGTTTTCTGCTATTGCAAATAATGCTGCTCTGATCATGCATGTGAGACACTCATTTTCTAAAAGACTGTCAGAGGCTCATGATTTGGAAGTCCTGGCTTTGGGAGGAACATGAGAACAGGCAAAGAGTGCCTGGCTCTGCTTAGGTCCGCAGGTCAGGCGAGGTAGGGTGGCTTTTAGGGGAGGTGACAGTGGGTCATTGGGATCATGGAGGCTGGTGTCCACGGCAGCAGTTCTCTGTGTTAGAAACTGCATGGCTTATGGTGGGGCCAACACAGACCACCCACACACCTACTGCCTTGTAGATCTTGGAGCCAGGCCGCAGGGAGCGTCTGGGGCTGAAGATGGCCAATGAGGCCGCTGCCAAGAACCGGGCCAAGAAGCAAGAGGCCTTGCGGAGAGTGACAGAGAACCTGGCCAGGTGAGGGCAGCCTGACCTGTGGCGGGTGGGAGGGTGTCTCTGTCAGGCTCCCACTCACCCCCCACCCCACCCAGAAGTATGGATGCTGGGGAATCTGCAGCAGGTGTAGCGCGTGGTTGTATGTGGACCAGGACGTTGGCCCCGCCTTCTGTTTTTTTTCCCTTACATCCTCCTTGGCCTGTCCCCAAGAGGCAGTTTTAGGCCTGGAGTCCCACTGTGAGCTCCTGTCAGCCCTATGGAGAGATGTCATCATTTTCTTGGGAGAGGGGTGGGGACTCCAACTCTTAGAGGTCTGGGGACTGCAACTCTTAGAGGTCTGGGCGTCTACCTCAGTCCCATAACCACGAGCAGCACCACCACTTGGCCTCACTATGCCAGGCCATCCAGTGCTGTCCACCTCAGGTCAGAATGACCACATGTCTGCCCATGCTCTGCTGAAGGAGTCCCTGATGCTGGCAGCACCTAGCCCACCTAACCCTGCCTCTCTTGCCCGTTCTTCCACCCCAGCCTCACCCCCAGAGGACTGAGCCCAGCTATGTCCCCGGCCCTTCAGCGCCTCGTGAGCAGGACAGCCAGCAAGTACACGGACCGGGCCCTGCGGGCC